GAGACCAGTAGGATGCAGGTGGTTATTTACAATCAAATGTAAGGCAGACGGAAGCATAGATCGGTTAAAAGCCCGACTGGTTGCCAAAGGCTATACCCAGTCATACGGAATTGACTACCAAGAGACATTTGCCCCAGTAGCCAAACTGAACTCCATTAGAATCCTACTCTCCATTGCAGCAAACCGAGACTGGCCCCTTATGCAACTTGATGTCAAAAATGCATTCCTTAATGGAGATCTTGAAGAGGATGTATACATGGATTTACCGCCTGGTCTTGAAGAGTCCTTCCCTAGTGGCAAAGTATGCAAGCTCCAGAAATCTCTGTATGGTCTCAAACAATCTCCTCGTGCTTGGTTTGCAAAATTCACCAATTCAGTAATCAAGTGCGGTTATACTCAAAGCCAGACTGATCATACAATGTTCACAAAAAGATCTGAGAAGAAGATTGCTGTTCTTATTGTGTATGTTGATGACATCATTCTTACCGGTGATCATATTGAAGAATTGACAAAGCTGAAGAAGTTTCTAGCCCATGAATTCGAAATCAAGGACCTCGGAGACTTGAAGTTCTTCTTGGGAATGGAAGTTGCAAGATCCAAAATGGGGATAGCCGTAACTCAAAGGAAGTACACATTGGACCTATTGAAAGAAACTGGTATGCTTGGATGCAAACCAATAGACACTCCAATAGACCCGTATAAAAAGATTGGAATGGAGAATGATAGTTTACCTGTCGACAAAGGACGATATCAGAGGCTTGTTGGAAGACTTATTTACTTATCTCACACCAGACCAGACATAAGTTTTTCAGTAAGTATAGTAAGTCAATTCATGAACTGTCCTACTGAGGAACATATGGGAGCTGTCAACCGTATCTTAAGATACTTAAAGATGACACCTGGGAAAGGATTATTATTCAAAAGGAATGATAGTCAAAAGGTAGAAGTATTTACTGATGCAGACTGGGCAGGAGATATATCCACCCGACGATCAACCTCTGGGTATTGCACGTATGTATGCGGCAATCTAGTGACATGGAGAAGTAAGAAGCAATCGGTGGTCTCTCGGAGTAGCGCAGAAGCAGAATACAGAGCACTGGCACTTGGAATCTGTGAAGGAATGTGGATCAAAAGATTTCTCAAAGAGCTTGGAATTATGGGAGAAAATTCTATCAAGATGTTCTGTGACAATCAAGCTGCAATAAGTATCGCAAAGAATCCTGTTCATCATGACCGAACGAAACACATTGAGATTGATCGGAACTTCATTTCAGAGAAGGTGGACAATGGAATCATTGAATTGGTCTATACTCCTTCTAGAGACCAAACCGCAGACATTCTCACCAAGGCTCTCCCTAAGTCCAGTTTTGATGAGCTAACCAACAAGTTGGGCATGTACAATCTGTACAACCCATCTTGAGGGGGAGTGTGGAATTACGCTCATTATTATTTACTTTAATGTTATTTAGTACTTGCTATATTTTGTGATAGTATAAAAATAGTAATTCTTAATTATAGGTATTTATGTTTATTCTATAATTATAGGAATTACTTAATTGTAGGAAGATTTCTTTCCTTGTTTTATTTCTTGTAAACGCCTATTTATAGGTGAATTATCTATGTATTCATTGAGAAGAAAGTTATTCAAAAAAATTCACACTAATTATGTTATTATTTAAATAATTTAGATTCAAATAACTGAAATAAGAGAGATAATATAGCGTAGACAAAAAAAGAAACACAAGGGCAATGTATTTTATTTTATTTTGGTTTAAATGGATGTAGTGTAATGGTTTTTTCATTATTTACGGATTTAGATTATTTTTTTTAAATATATATATGTGTGTGTGTCTATATATTTATATTATATATATATATTTATTTATAAAAAAATATAAAGGTAATAATAGAAATTCTAATCATCGTCCAATTGTCCATTCTTGCCTTAAAAATTCCAAGCTTCTAGGTTAGGTCATGCCAATTTCAATTTTAAGATAAGTTCAAAAAATGATTATCATTATGAACATTTCTTTATTGAAACCAACATTAAAATAGCTCCTATGATAGGTGTATCATACTATACATCATTTATCTCTCGTGCTGACATTGGTTAAATTACAAATGAATTTGTATCTATTTTTCATAGCAAAGCAATGGGTTCTATAACCCATGCCATGACCTGCGTGCATATTATCTTCTAATTTTTAAATTACTATAATTTAAAAATATAAATAGACACTCGGTTGATGTTTAACTCACTCTAATAGTTGATAATTATTTTCAAGAAATCTCCCTTAGTTTAAATTTAGTTTTACAACATTGCTAACTATAGAAGATAGGTGTTCCCACTAAATGCATGTGAAGTTTGAGTTTTATCATGTTGAAAAAAAGGTGTGCTTGTGATTTGAACATAAATAAAATAATATAGTTTAGTTAGTCTGAGACTGTATGAAAATATGTTTTAAAAAAACTTGGAAGAAAAATGAAAGTGCATTATTTTCTATCTAATCGAATGTTCCCACCTTGATATTCTGAGCTGCACAGTGACAAAAAATCTCAACCGATTGAGAAATTCTTCCATCGATTCAACAATTTAGAAGAACATATGTAGCGCCAAGAAATCAAAACTGCCATATAAGATAACAGTCCTATGACTCTATGGTCAAGTCAAAGACAAGGATAAACTTTTACTAAGTCCTATAAAGGCTAATGATCTCACCATCGGTCTTAATTGTTTAAGGATCAACCGCATTTGACATTCATAAAACAATAACATTTGAAACTGGATAAAAATGCATGCATGTGTTTTAGTTGTTTCTCAAACATTCTAAAGACAACGAAAAAATTTAGACACGCAACATGAGAAGGAGCAGAACACGGCCAAGCAAAATAAAAGAGAGAACCTGAACCCGTCCCTCCAGCAATAGAATGACAAAGAACAAAACCCTCAAGACTGTCACTACCATCAGCTTCTCTATCAACCATATCCATTATATCATCTACTACTTGCTCTCCCTGGTTCAAATAGCAAATAAGTAATCAGCTGAACTAAATAAAGCATGTTGCAGTGAAAACATGACATTTAAAAGAGCTAATAATTTAGGCAATACCAATAGATAATTTATAAAATATGGACACATTAAAAACTTATGGTACTGTCAGATTTGATTCGCCTTACAACAAATTGTAGCTATTGTTTTTCAGTTTTTACCATTACCTATAATAAAATTAAGAATGAAATTAAAAAACTAAACATTCACCAGGGACAGCATATTTACAAAGAAAATTCACGAGGGACACATTCAAACTCTGATACTTTCAATACGGTTAATTGCATGCTATATGCTCAATCTATGAATTCTCATTCAAGTACCAGTACTACATGAAATTTATAAGAACGAGTTTGGTCTATAATTAAAAGTGATACAAGTACATGCTTACCTTCTTCAGCGTTAGAAAAAAATAAGGTTCCAACGCTAGTCTTTATCAAGGGTTTTAAAAAAAATTGGGAGCAGACAATAAGAAGATAAAGATGCCTTATAGAGGGCAAAAAACTGCATATGATTGTATCGCCAGCGCCATCAATTGGACTGACCAAAAATCACCACCGACAAGATGACTAAATTGTTTTGATCGAGGTAAGCCTTCAACGAAATCCAACGTCACCTGCTCTCATACCTTCTCCGATAATGTTAGAGGTCGTAGCAACCCCTCAGGCAACAAAGCCATGTACTTGTGTAGTTGGCACACATTACACCTTAAGACTGTCCTCCACATCTTTTCATTCACACCCAATATAACAGTGTTGCTACCCTTCAGTATGTTTTGAGGACACCTGAATGCCCCCTAATAGCGTTGTTATGGAACTCTTATAATAACTTCGGTATGTGTATTGAATTGTGGGGCAATAAATGACATCCCTGGTAAAGTAAAAGTTGATCATTCGGTGAATAATTGAGATAGTTATTCTCGCCATTCACTAAAGCCGACTGGATCTTGCTCAGTTTCTCATCGATCTCACATTCTTGCCTCAGGACCTCTCAATCTGAGACCAATGGAACTGACAATACCAACAATTGTGGTTCCTCCATCAGTCGTGATAAATAATTGGTAGCCTTATTCTCTAATCCCAGTTGATACTAAATCTCAAAATCATACCCCATAAGCTTAGATAGCCACATCCGATGTTCTCAATCACCATCCATTGTTCTAATGGAAATTTAAGATTGTGTTAATATGTGCATACTATAAAATATCCCCCCAACAAATAAGGTTGACGTTTCTGATTGGAAACACAATTGTTATTTGCTCCCACTCAAAAACTGAATTAATTATAGCTCTCACTACCGGCACTTAACTGAAAAAAACTGTTGTTGACACTGGATGAGAATTGTGCCATACCCATAGCCTGAAACAACCATCTCTACAATGAATTATTGGCTAAATTCAGATAATGTCAACACTGATAAACTCTTCATGGTCTTCTTTACCTTCTAAAAAACTTGAGTCGTCAATTCCCCCCAATTAAAATTTATCCTTCTTCAATTGCTCTGTCAACAATCACACAATCGATTTGTTACCCTTCTTACACTTTTGCTAGTATCATGTAAATCCCATAAATCCTCTCAACCTCTTCAAGGTATTGGGTAGTGGCCAGTCCAACATAACTGTCATATTTGATGAATCCGCCGCACCACATATCCAAAGTACTCCACCTTCGTTTGGCAAACAAACACGTCTTTAAATTAGCCTAAAGTTGGTGCTTAATGAGTACCGTCAACACCTTCAAGTGATCAATGTGGTCTTCTAAGAAAAGGATGTACACTAGGATATCGTCAAAGAACACCAACACAAACTTTCGAAAAAAAGGTTGAAACATCTTGTTCATCGGTGATTGAAATAGAATTGGTGCTTCGATGAGCCCAGATGCCATAACCAGAAATTCATAGTGAATCTCATGATTTTGAAATACAGTTTTGTGCACATCCGTCAATTGCATCTGAATCTGATGGTATCCTGACTTCAAGTAAATCTAAGCGAATACAACAGCCTCAAACAACTCGTCCAGTTGTTGATCGACCACCGAGATGGAAAATCTGTCTGGTATTGTTTCCTTATTCACTATCTGATAGCCCACACAGAAACGCCAACTCACATCCTTCTTCTTCGCTACCAAGTATGGGCTAGGGAAAGGGCTCACACTAAGCCTCCAGTGTCTCTCAAATCAATATTTTGATCTCATTCTTTTGTACATAAGGGTAGCATTATGGGTGCAAATTGATGGGAGAAAACCCCAGTCTCAAAGTTATTGCATGCTTGTGTTCCCTTTGATACAGCAATATGCGTAGCAACTAGAAAACTTCTGCAAATTATTGTAGGAGCAGTTGGATCAGTATCAGAGTATATGATAACTCAATGTCTTGTGTCTCTTCTATGTTATGCAACTCGATCAAGAATCCAAATCCTATGTCCTGTATTGCCCTAACCATCGTCTTGAGTGTCACTAAGGTCTTGCACAAACTAAGGCAACACGAGGCACCACAATTTTCCCTCCCTTCTGAAACTCTATTGTTGAAAGTTTCCAATTCATCTTAGTCTCCCAAAAGAACTGCAATCATTTCATACCGAATATCACTTCAATACTCCATAAATCCAATGAAAGAAAATACTTCATCACCAGAATACCTTGTAATGTCAAAATCACCCACCGGCACATTCTCCTGCTATTCTCCACCTATGGTGTTTCTATCATGACCCCAAAACTTCATGTGTCAAATATCTCAAGCCCCAATTACCACACTACTTGAGTCGAGATGACATTGTGGGTGAACCCCCAATCTACCAACACCACTTCGTCCTACTCTTCGATCCTTCGCTGAAGTTTCATAATGTGATTGATGTTAACCCTACCACCAAGTTCAATGAAAATTCTTTCACATCCAAATGAGGGCATCCTCCACCACAGCCTCCTCAATTGCCTCATCCCTTGCCTCCTCATCACACTGTGAGAACCTGCAGAATCCAGATTTTACAACGGTGTCCCGGAAAACTTCTCATCACACCAAAAACATAACCTCTTTGATCACTTCTCCTAAATCTATCTCTGTAAGGCATTTGATTGTTGCCCCCGATCGTGGCCCATTATTCATGTTCTGTGAAGTCTCCCTCTAGGATTACAGTTTTATCTTCAAGCAATTGCGTTAATTCCATAGTTTCCTCCAATCATTGTTGTCTCGGAAAACGAAGCACCGCTCAAATTTCTAGCATCAACCCTTTCAAGAAGTTTCCTTCCAACACTTCTTCTGAAATCTCTCGCTCAAACGAGCAGGTAACATTTTAAATTCCTATAATTTATAACACTCATCCTGGACCAATACAAAATATTACTAGTGTAAATCCCCTTCCTGTGTTGTTCTGAAATGCTTAAATAATCAATCATTAAATTCTTATCATGTTTTGATTGACTGGCATTGTTCTCTCCATTGATACCACGCTAGAGTTTTTCATTCCAAGCACAGGGCCTCCATCATCAATTTTTCTTCATCTGTCAACCCACTAATAACAAAGTATCTCTCCACGCGATGAAACCAACCATTGACATCCTCTCATCATCAGCTTTTTTATGTGTGAGTATCTCCACTTTTCTCAATCAAAGTGTGTTCCACCCATGAAGCAGGAGAAGAGTTCTCTTCCTCAACCCATATTGATTTCCCTTCTTCCATAAACCTAGCTCTCCCCATAATAAATTTGCCCGTTTTCCATAGGCTCCCGAATTGCCATCTGCCTGGAAGGAGGCCACAGCAAAAGACATTGACAAGGTTAGATGTAGCATTTGGCCGGTTTCCCGCCCACCATGATTCCCTATTCCAAGCAAAAATCCTTTGAATTGATCTTCTCCAGCCTCAAATCGCATGTCATCCCATTCCACCTACTGTCGCTCATTTCAACCGTCCGGATGTCACGCTATTTCTTTCAAGTGTTGTCACTCAAGTCTGCTCCCAGTTTCTTCACTTGAACCCGTAGCTCTAGATCGGTCTAAGGTCATGTGAATCCTTCTTGTTGATACCGCTCGCATCCGCTCCAGATGTCGTTGCTCGATACGCTACAAGCAGCGGCAATTTTGTGTGAAGCTCTAAGATCTTTTTCACCGTGAATCTGCCCTCCATGAACGAGAAACACTCTTTCATTTTATATCGGATTTGGTTCACCACTCCCTCTAATTTCTCCTCCAAAGCATCTAGTCATTACTCCCCGGACAATTTTTATCACAAAGGCAAAACTTGTGAACATCGTGATCCCATTGCTAGCTTTGCAATAGCTAGAATCTCAACTAGATCACAAGGTCTGGTCACAATTGTGTGTGGGACAATCCCGTTCTTGGCTTCCCAATTAGCTCAAATCACGATTGTATCGCAAGGTTCCGTGACAAAGGCAAGCATGATGGATCCTCTACACCACGGTCCCATCGATGGTTTCTCAACTAGCTCGAATCGCGACTGTATCATGAGGTTCGATCACGAAGTCATGCTTCACGGATCCTGTATGTCGCGATCCCGTCATTGGCTTCCCAACTAGCTCGAATTATGACATATCACAAGGCTCAATCATAAAGGCGAGTTTTAGCTGCAAATCCCGAAAGGAACAAAACAGCCCTACTCAATCGGTTCAACTCTGATACCAATTTGATAGGAACAAAATAAGTTTCTACACTGATTAGGGCAAAAATATATATTTTATTCCACCAGTATCAAAGAAAACAATATAAGTTAAAATATATAATAGATAAACACCTACAATTCGATAGATAGAGCTCTCCCAAACCCTAACTCCCAAAACTCTAAACAATAATAGCACATCCTAAAAAAGGGTAAAAAAAAGATAAATAAAACAAAATATTAAGCAACATATATCCTAAACAACAATAACTAGCAAATGACTAAATAGCCCTTTCAGCCTTGTGCCTAAAATAAGTCTTCATATTATTTGGCTGGCTCGGCGTGGCAGAAAGCGCCGTCGATGCCTATCAAACAAAAGCCTGACAACAAGAAAATGCAATAAAATAGCATGCATAATGAAGATTGGCTTAAGAGATATAAACTTCTTTGTTATTGAATAATGTCTTGAAAAACCTGGTGATAGCCGCTGGCCCAATTATTTCCAGCACCACCCCCATGATCTGAGAGAAATATGTTCTCATGATTGTAGAGATTTCTGTATTCACCATTTTGTATTTGATTAATAACTCTTGGTTCAAGGTCCATTAAGAGAGCCCTTGGGATATAGTGCTGATCATCAGCTTGATAGAAGAAAACATCCTTCCTGTCACCACCCTGAGGGATAGACAGAGATATAGAATCGTGTAGTTAAAGATCAAAAAAAAAAAAAAAAGGTTGTCGATTTAAAAATGAAAATCAGCAACAACAGATAAAAGATATTTAAGATTCAAAGAAACAATTCATACGAAAGACAATCAAGAATAAATGACATGGGTTGTTACAATATGTAACATAAAAGTTTCTCCAAAATTCCTAACATCAAATATCTACCAGCACAATAACGACATAAATGAACGATAAGCTAATGTTACACTAAACCCAGCAACTACACGTGTAAATATGAAAGTGGTAGAAGCATACAGAGGCAACAAAGATCAAGCCTTTATGGTATATGAATGCAACCTACAAGATCAAAGGAATTTTGCTTTTTTTGGATGTATTAAATCCACAAGATGGATTTACTTGTATCTAAAGGCTACATAATCTTGAGTTTTTCATGAATTCCTTTTCAGAATGCATACAGAGCTGGAGGAAAAGAAGGAACACTCCTACAACTGGTACGAAACAGTGATAAAAAATAATGCCTATCAATTTTACTCACAAATCTCGGTAGAATGGTCAGATGTTACATGTGGTCTCATAACCATGTATATAAAATTCTTCACATCACAAAAAGATTTATTTGAATAAACTCCGCAGAAAAATATTTTTTTACAACGTCTACCACCCAACCTATGATTGCTGAAGCATTAATCTGACAGATAACTTGCTTATTTATATATTAACTAAGCTAGCATTTCTGTGTTTTAAACTTGGGCACTAGCACTTTCTCAGAGGGCAACTTCGGGGTCAATCTCTAAATTCTATTTCGATGTTCAAATAAGTGAATGGGCGACTAACCTTATCTGATGACTATTTTCCTGTATTCCCCTCTGACAATTGATCCACATAAAATAATTTTCAGGGCACAACAACAACAGTGTAGAAAATATAATACCAAATAACAATAGCATGATTTAAATCATTTTTTTATGAAGTGGTAGCTTTAATAACTCCCAACTCAAGAACTATTCTCAGCCAAAAAACATAAGTAAAACAATCATAAATATTTTCTAGGGTAAATATTGTATGAATACAAAAATTTCAGTAAACATTGAGAAATAGGATTTTGCGTACATTATGGGTGTAACCGAGTTAAGTCAACTTGTGAGCCAGCTCAGGCTAGGCTCCATAAATGGCTCATCAGTTGAACTTGATGAGCAAATAAATCAAGCTTGAGCTAGCCCCAACTCTACTGATCAGCTTGCAGGTTGGCATGTTCAAGAAAATTTTCATATAAAATGCACTTAAAATATAATTTAATTCAAGGGTTTAAGTAAAAAAATTTACTGATAATATATACAAATTATATCCTTATTCCTTATCTCAAGAGATTTATTATTATTTCTTCTCCAATTTCAATTTTTTGTCATTTTATCCTGATAAATGAGCTGGCATATGTACTGACTTGAACTCGTAGAATTGAGCTCAAAGTCAAAGTTGATCATTATTCAAGCTCAGCTCAGGAGTGGCTCGAGCTTCACTCCACTCATTAACACTCGATCATCTACACGTACAGATTGATAGAAAACAATCAAAGAATCAAACCTACCAGATTGAGCTTTAGAACAGATGGTTACAAAAGTTTAACAGCAAATCAAAGCATTATAGAATTTGAACTGTGTGGATCCTGATTTGTTTATTCATGGCATGTAACTTATGTTAGAACCTTTCAGCACGTGCTAGTGTGATAAAAATAATTTTAGAATACAAAGTTCATCCTCATGACCTATCAGCTTACCTTTAGGCCAAATTGTACAAAGGATTAAAAGGAAAACCAAGAACCTGAAATGAAACTAGACAACATCCTTGTTGAATTTCTCTTTTGTAGAATTCACCTTCACCAAACCAACTACTACCAATAAATGCTGATTTGTGTGTTGATAGCAAGCACTTTTATATCCTGTTCTTTTAGTTTAGTTCAAGAAATATGTATTTATCTATTTATTTAAATTGAGATGTTTTAAAGATAATTATCGAACTAGTCTGCTGGAGTATTCAACAACAAGATAAGATTAGTTGAAGAAGATAGAGAATTCTAGATCTATTGTTATCGCTACCTCTAGGAGAAAGATGAAGGATGCCAAACAGTATATGATGCAGAATTTTCCTTCTGGTTTCCTACTGAAATTTTCCTCCCGTTCAATATATGGCATGAATCGGGTCTCTACAGTCTTTCTGAGACTATATGCATCAACTAGGACCATCCACAACTTTAGCTGAATTGCAGCAACCCTGTGTTTCACGTGAACGTCTCTTGCCTTCTGTATCAAAACCCAACTAGAGATTTCCTTATTTACCAGTAATCCATTGCAGCTGGAAAAAATCATTATGTGGGGATTGCTTAAGCTAGATCTTTTTAACTTAAGTTTTCTTCTTTTCCCTGAAATTTGGATTGGAAGATTGTTTTTCTAATTGGAATTGAAGTATGATACATTGAAATTTAGAGAGATTTTTAGTAAATCTTGGAGGATTCCAATGAATTACTTATTTTGGGTCCTTTAGGCTATAAATAGGACTCCCAAGGCATGCCAAGATAAATGGCTTTGTATGGTAAAATAAAAATCAATCTTTTACTCCAACAATATGTCTATCGTCGGAAGTGCTTTGTTGTATGTTGATGCTTTGAGTGTTAAGCAACTCTTGATGACTAGTGTTAAGGATGAGTCTCCTAGTATCGTTGTAAAGCTTGGCTCTCCCACTGAATGATTGCTTTAATTTTTCTTTCTATCAATTAAATTAGTGTTGGTGAATGTGTGTGAATGAACTTTCGCTAAGTTTGATAAGTGGTAGATTCATTTTTTTCATATTCAATTCGAGTTTTTAGGTGATGGTGATTACTATATTATCGTTTAAAAAAAAATAAATATTTGCCATGTTTGCAACAAAGATGACCAATGTTTGCCAAAAATTGAGACTTCGTAACCTTTGCAACCTACGAGTTGTCTTTTGTGCATTTCATGTTGCATCTTATTCTGAGTTATAATATGCCCTACATTAAATTGATATCATAGCGTATTGTTGTGCCATCAAATCAACTAAAATAAACTAGGGCATAATATTTGGGTCTATATATGTGTGTATATATATATATAAAGATATATATATGTAAGTTTATGTACGTATATGTATGCATCTGTACGTGTGTGTGTGTTTGTGTGTGTGTGTGTGTGTGTGTGTGTGTGTGTTTGACAGATCAAGGTCCTAAAAGAAAACAACATAAAAATTCGGAGGATCAAATTACATACCCATATTCATGGGAGGCATATCAAAATAAAATTTTTAGAATGGAACAATAAATTGGAATACTTCTTTGATTACCAACTACTTGATTTTGAAATAATTGAATATGCAAAATCTAAACAAGTAGGTTATGCTCAATTATTTCGGCAAAATATTGTAATTGAACTAAACCCTACATGGACAAAGCTAAAACAAAAGTTTAAGAATCATATATGTCCTAAGAAAAAATATGGATGAATTAAATAATCACTTTAACATTTATAAATAATGAAATTCTAGATAGTCTAATTTATGATAGATTTAAAGATCTTGCAACGCATCGATACTCTCTTGTTATCATTTTGTGCATTATTAAAAATCTTAGGCAAGAGCTAAATTCTCCCATAGCTATATTTTAACTAGAACCCTAAATGAAATTTTAACAAAATTTTTTAATAGTGAAGCGGATGACAAAGGATTTGTTAGTAATATCTCACACAGAAATTAACTCTCTTAAAAAATTACTTACCTTCTTCTCCCAAACCTATCAAACCTACATCAACATAAGAACAATGCTTAGTTAAATCAAATAATATTGAAGAAATGATGATTCGTGAATATTCTTTCAATGATACCAAAAATGTAGAAGATAACTTGGAGTTAAAGTACAAGTTTGCAATTGATGATATACCCTTTAAATCTACACCTATGTTAAAATTTGTTCATGAAGGAGCCTAAAGTTAAGCAAGAGTTACAAGGTGAATTTGAATTTAACTTTAAGAATGAGATAAAGTTTGGCACTAAGCTTGTATTAGAAATTGAAATTGAAATTGAAATGGAACATATGGTTGTATGTTAACCTAAATTAGAATATACTACTCTTGAATGTGGTCATAAACTATTGATAGAAAATGAACATTTTTTTAAATATAAAGCAAATTTTCAAATTGAAATTGAATCTCTCCTAGAACATGAAAATAAGCAAAAAATAAACAAAACAAATACATATTGTAGTTAATGGTAAATTAAACAAATGACTCATACCCTAATGTAATTTAAAACAAAGATATTTATGCCAACCAAACTAAATCTTATTTTATATTCAATTCTTGGATCCTAGACTTACAGTCAGTTCAAAAAGAAGTTATTATGAATCCTAGACTTACAGTTCAAAAAGAAGTTATTATGAAAAAAAAAAAAAATTGTATTATTCTTTCAATAAATTTGTCGACAAGGAATGCCAAACAAAATATCAAACTTTATACTTTCTTCTATTTAGATAAATTGAAAAATGCATAAATTATCACCACCAATATTTAAGATATTTTAGTAGCTTTCTTCAAAGAGAATGTTCTTCCATATAGACCTATCATTTCTGTATGTAACGGCTGCTTTAACTTTTTTCTTATCATCTCATCATCTAAGAATATATTATAAACCATTATTACAATTCATTAGAAAGTTTATTGCATCTTAAAATTTTAAATACTTGTTTCAAGATATTTCCAAGAAGAGATTTGTAGAAAACTAACTGTCCATAGAAACTATAGGCATATAGGCCATTTGAGGTCACTTTTATATTTTATTTTGTATATCCTTTGATTTTATTTTGGTTTGTTCCTGGTTTTATTTGAAATGAAACATATTTGATATGTTAAACTATATTTTTTATGTTTATAGAATATCGTATAAATTTATTTATGCGATGATGGTGGTGATCATTGATGAAATAATGGCAATAGCTGGTAACACAATGATGGTAACAATAACAGTTAAGCCAAAGGTGGAAAGCCGCAGCTTGTGGTGGCCGATAGAAACAAGCTAAGATAGTAGGAAACGACTAGTAATAGTGGTAATTGTCTTTAAACACTCAAACACCTAAATTTATTTTGACTGTTTTTAAAAACAAGCCAATTTATTTTAAAAAATATAAATATATGTGAAATTATTTTTTAAGTAAAAAAGTTAAATTAAAAAAATAAAATAACGCCAAACAGATTCTTATTGATGATGTAACTAAAAAAACATATGAAATTTAAATAAGGCAATTGTAAGTTAGAATCCTGAAAGGTTCTTACATGGATAGTTAAGAGATCAATTGCAAGACAAATAAAACAATATAAAATCATAAAATGTATTGGAATAAATACAAATAAAATTCAAAACACGGATGTATTAGAATAAATATAAATAAAATGAAAATACCAGATAGCTCTTGTACTATTCTAATTTTTAATGTCTCTGATTTGACTTTATTTCATTAACTCGCTAGCAATGCAGTGATTTTTCTCTCTTTTCACCTCCTCATTATGAATTCACATCAAATATCTTACCATGCATATCTGTTCATGACACTCCTGAAGCTAACTTACATGCATGCCCAGTATTGATAATGGATACTACAAGTTTTTTGTGCTTGATATAATAGAGTTATTTGTTATGATTCATAGATTATATTGCAAGAAAATAACATTTGTTTCCCAGACATACATGAAAAAAGTCAAATACTGAAATCATCCAAGTTGAAATTTTAAAGCCAGTTAGAATGATAAAGAGTTCCTGACATTTTCTATTGTGGTTTTCTTTTTGTTTCAAATATTGCAGTATTATTTGTTTTCCTTCAATGATTTTTTATTTCTCAGAATTGTAGTAATCAGCAATATCCAGAATTGCAGTAATCAACAGTGTCCTAACGCATCATAATATAAAGCTATCATTGCCAAAATCTAACTCGCCATCAACATTGGAAATATTAGCACCCATTTTTTAAATCAAGCAAGGTACATGACTCACTTCCTAGATACAAGCACCGACACCTATGTGTCCTTTCTTCCTAGCTATTGATCCGAACCAACACAACCACTAAGTGCAGTCTCAATTTTCATTTAACCAGTCGGATCTAGGGGCCTTATTTTAGGGTTTTACCCTAGTAGGTTGACTTTCCCTTTTTTATATAAATAGTGATATGAGACTTCTATAAGGGTGGATTTCAAGTTTCATAAAATTTGCAAATAGGAATTCTTAGTTTTCTCGAAGATTGGACTATTGTATCCTCCTCTTTCAACTGATGATATGAGTAAACTAGTTAAATGCCCATTAAGAATGATATTAAAATGCTAAACATATGGTAGTGATGTTAGATACATCATTTATGTGTATGTGATCGTCACAAAGATTGTTATTTGTTTGTTTGTTTGAGATCACCAACAGAGGTGTTGAGGCTATAGAATATGCTTTCAAATGGTGAATGGAAGCACAACTTGAATAGATGGGTGCTCTGATGTTGAGAACTCATAATAAAGACAAATTTCTTGTTATACTATCCAAACTAGCATACTGAGAATATGCACACAATGGTTATTAAATTATGGGGACATTTAGCCTTATGAAATTGCTAATGTGTATGTTAAGACCAGCACTAGCATGAGACCCCTTGTCAGAAGGGTGAGACATTGGATTTGATGGTTTCAATTGACTCAGATCTCCATATAATCATGGTTGAGAAGTGTTTCCATTGTAGCAGAAGGAAGCACGCTCTAACGACGGAGTGCCTATGAGGATGAGATTCTTCATGAGTACATTTAACAAGCATGGGCTTATTCAGGGTTGTCATTATGTTGTTCATTGATTGATTCCCATACTTCATACGTATCTTATTTTCTATGAACCTTATAATAACAATAATACAAAAAATATTGAAGTGTGATTAAGTACATTTAACCTTATTGAGCACATGATTCATTTATAGATGTATATTATTATCGTCACATATTGTAGTGGACATATTTTTCATTGAAATTTGATAAGCATGCCCTCTATCTTTCATGCACCGTAACTTTTAATGCCCATAGATTAAAAGAAGCATATTTCTGAGCTTTGAACTTGCCAAATTAATTAGAGGAGGAACAACTTCTAGAGAGCTAATAGTTTGCTCAGCACTTTATAATTATTTTCCAGATTGTTATCACTGTAGTACTGATTGGGACAGCGATCAAATAATTACATTTGAGTTATGCAGCAAAACCCGACAAGTTAATCGTGATGGATTATTCTTCCAGTTATGCGTTTTTCTGACTATCATGTTGTTACATTCAACATTCGATTGTGAATGCTATATTGAGGGCATAACTACTACTCTTCAGTTCACCACCCTTAACTAAAGCCTTCCCATGTTTTCCACGCAACCATATGATCATTATTCAATTTTCTAAAGCCCGTCGAAAACCGCTAAAACCAAAAATTTATACGCCGATTCTTTGACTTGAAAGAATTCACTGCAGAACGATCAAATAAAAACATACAAAGTAATTTCCCCTTAAGTAAAACAGGAGGAAGACAGCAAGGGACCGAATAAGAGCGAAAAAAAATGGGAAAACGTGCCTGAGTAGCAAAATCCTCGAGCAGTCCGTCAGGGCCGATGCCGTGCTCAACGCATAGCTGCTTCCAGAACTCCATTCCAATCTGATTCCCGCATTGCCCAACCTGGATGGTGATGATCTCTCGTGGCATTTTTTCCGATTGCAGGAATTATGGTTGTGAGTAAACGGCGTAGGGTTTCCGATCCTTCCTTCCCAGATTCAGACGCAGTGACAGAGGCCCAGTGAACTCAGCTTTCTTGCAACATGGCAGAAGACCGGACTGGAATGTAAAGTTTGACCTAATAATATATGATTTATAAAACAATAAAAATAATAATAATTAGTTTAAAAAAAAATCAAATATCAAAATTCATTTTAATATTTTAAATACATGTAATTAATTAAAATAATAATGAAACATGTCAATGGTAAAATCAAAGGATGTACAACCCCTACCTTCCTAAGTATTGATTAATTTGTGCTTAAATAATATAATCAATTTTAGAGTTTATTTGATTTAACATGTTGAGCATATATATTCTATTGTGAGCTAAAAAATTCATTATAGTAAGAAGTTTATGTCCTAATTTTGTATTAAGAATACACAAATTAACATATAAAAGAAAGAAAGTAATGAAGATATCAAAATTTTTATGTGACAATCCAAAAAATAATATGGGTCAATCTAGGCAAACCAATCCACTATATTATTTTATATTAAAAAAAATTGCTTGTTGAATATGAAATTTTCTTTTGGAAATACACGCCTCCAGAGTTAGAGCCACGAGAAGGAGAGGTAGAGAGATAGGAAACTTGCTAGTGAATTATCTGTAGAGGGGCCGGAGAAAACTTCCTTAGGTCGGGGGTCCATTTGTTCATCATCGAAACTCCTATTTATATGAGGTCTTCTTATACAATTATAGAAGAGAGAGGCTGATATGAGCGGTCAATCGGTCAGTTGTGTTTGATCAGCCTTTAGGGAGCTTCAGAGGTTGGGATTGTATATAGACTTGCTGACTAGTTCTCTAAGGACGGACTTGATCGGCCTGTTGACCTTTCAGATGATCGGTTCAAATCATGCTTATTGAATTTAATGTTTTGATAGTTGTGTCATCATCCTTACTTATTCAATTGCTTTGAGATTTTTGCTGACAATACTTGGTGTCTTTATATTAGTTTGGCTTGAAAATAGATGGGGTTGGATCATTTGGTAAGTTGATGGAGGATTCAGTCAATTTGGGAATTTTGAAGAATTTGGGTCAAAAACATGATGTGGCATTAATGTGATTTTGGATTTGAAGTTCAAAGGGCCTTGGATTTGAAGTTTGTTTTAAAATTGGAGTAAGTTTAGGGTTGGGGTTGATTTCGATAATTTTGGGAAATTGGGGAAAGCTTAGGGTTATGAAGGGGTAGTGTGAGTGTGGAGAGTAGGAATGGTGAGAAGACAACCCTAGGGCTTGATGATCCTATGAGAACTCTCTTTGAACTCCCTCATGACCTCCTAAGTGTTAGAGGTCAAAAACCACACATATGAAACTCCACAAAGAGCAAAGAAGTAGTTTTAGTCTCTAAAATGAGATGGGTCCTATTACTAAGGGTTCTAGGTAGTCAAAGGGAAAGCCTTATGGCTATATCCTAAGTTCTAAGAGCAAAAGTAGACCTCACCAAAAATGAGGTCAACATGAGTAAGGAGGCCTTCGAGTTGGAGAACATGCCCAAGGGCACCGGGAGGATGTGGCTCGGGTTTGACAAGCAGTTTGATCAACTGGATCAATCTTTATATTGATATCTATAGGCAAGCAGTTTGATCAACTGGATCAATCTTTATATTGGTACCTGTAGACGGATGCGAACAGGAGCATGCCCCGTGATGTTGATTCTTTGGTATAACTGTAAAATGTGAAGTATGTGATTATATGTTTAATCTCCTTATAGTGATTCTCAATTTGCAACAAAGCCAAAAACTTGATCCAAAGCAAAGGCTAGCTAAATCTTTCACTATGAAGCAAAAAAGAACACAATTATAATATTTAAATATGAGATACTACGCAAGTATACATATCGTTATCAAGTAATATAAGACTTTTTTATTAAGCTCTGAATATGAAACCACATGGAGAATAGCAGTATGCACATTATAAATTTAGAAATTTCAGATTACAAAAATCTACTTCAAAAAATATTATTACTTAAACTTAAGATACTTAATAGGAATGAAAATTCAATTCTATTTGTAATTTTTGGATTTATGAAAATAAAGTAAGCAACTAACTAACTTAACTAAATATTTATAAGATGACGACAATATAAGTAAAACATTTTTTTCCTTATCATGAATCAGTAATAAGTGTAAAAATTCTATTTTGGGAGTATGATAAATGTGTTGTGTTAAATATGAGCAATTATATTCGTTACCCTTACTAGAGATGCTATAAAGAACATTAGTTAATCTATAGTTTGAATAGTCTTGAAACCCGGTTAGGTAGGGAAGATACCAGCTCTCACTCTAAAGTTCCCTCTTCTACCTCCACCTGGGGGCTAACACCTCGTATCAAAACCTAAAACTATAAATCAAATGAGGGATTTAGTCTGTTACTCTAAAGTCCTCTAATTCTACACACTTACAAAGTTTATTTCCCTATTTATTTGCACTCAAACATGTGAAATACATTCTCATTCATGAAATCAATATGTGATTTTAACCATTTGTTGACTGAGAGAATACATCTCGAATCTTACATGTTCTCACAATAGGTGTTAACATCTTAATTGGTCAATTCAAGAGGTAAATGAAGTGTAATGTTTCAAATCATCACAACTTATTCCAACATTGAAGTCTAATACTTCACACAACATCCTTTAAACACTTAATCACTTATCATTTTAAGGAAAAATATAAATAAAACTACTCAGAATCCATGGAGAAAATACAACCACACATGAGTTTAAAAGTAGAAATCATGCACTCAAACAAGAAATCTAGATTAAAACCATGTTTAGTCATAAAGAGAAACACTTATCTTAAATCCTCTCCACCAAATGTTTTGAAGCTCCATTGAACTTTCTTCCTTCACTCACAATATAAACTAACACTCAAAATAAAAAAGAAAAAGGCCAGCGACGGCGACGACTACTTGATGAATGATGGCTGTAAAATTTGATGGGTGGTTGGCCTCTTCTCTTGGATAATCTAAGTCTATTCTTATGAAAAATTCAACGGGTGTCTTCGTGTCTCTTCAAAAAGGTGTCTCCATTCAATGAATCTTCTAGAAGTTGCCGCCTCAAAAGCCAATTGAATAAATTTTTGTGTCCATGGGATATTTCTCACGTTTTTACCAAGGGTTGCTTCAAACAACTCTTTAAAAATATGTTTAAATTCAATGAATCATCAAATAATTACTTCTAGCGCTTAAGCGCGGGGTACTTGATGCTTGGTGGGCTCTCTGGCACATAAGCGCGAATACTGGGCGCTTAGGCGTCTCAGTTCATTTTGCACCTTTCTTCATTTTTGCTCCAAATTTGACCATTTTTCACTCTTTTTAAAATTTGACCATTTTGCACCTTTCTTCATTTTTGCTCCAAATTTGACCATTTTTCACTCTTTTTACATTTGATTGTACCTGAAATTGTACCTGAAATAAAAACACACAAATAACTTTCATTAAAATGCAATATCTCAAAAATAGGTATAAAAATGTGTATAAAAACACTATATATTTTAGGTATATCAAAATCTCTCAAACTTAGATGTTACTTATCCTCAAGTGACCCTTCAATCTTTAAAAACCAACATAAGTAGATGATGTATATTGAGTTTCTTTAGGAGTTAATAAGTAGATGATGTATATGAGTTTCTTTAGGAGTTACTAAAATTTTGATCTATAAATATAGTAGTCCAATTTTGAAAACTTAGAGTTTAAAAATTTCCAACTTAGAGTTTAAAAATTTTAAAAGTTAAGAAATATGAAAATATGAGTTTCTATTTAATTCAGAAACATCTTAGATTCTCCAAATATAGAGCTTATGCATTTTATCATCTCCACTTAAAAATTTTTTATTAAGCATATAAGCATTTTTTATTAAGCATAATTTTACTTACCATATTATATCCTTAAACTTAAGAGTTTCTTAAGTCTTATACTTTAAAAAGATCAGATGTGAAACTAACTTTTGATTAGACACTAATCATTAAGCTTCTACTCCCTCTTTCAATTTTTTTTTTATTTTTTCTTTCTCTTTTCTTTTTCTTTTTCTTTTCTTTTTCTTTTCTTTCTCTTCTTCTCACGCAAGGATTACTATATCTAGACAAGCCTTAAATAATTTTGAATTCCACTCTTCCTTTCCTAAAGTAAAGAGATGATATTTTCCTTTCACTTAAAAACATAATAATAGTTTTGAAAATTAATTTCAATAAAAGAAATTTAATTTTTGAAAATAAAAGTCTAAATCTTCTAAATTTTCAAAAATTTAATTTTTCCTACTAAAGATAGTTACACTATATTTAACATTCTCCACACTAAAAATTTTAACTGTAAGTTTTTCTTCATTACTATAAATTTTAACTAAATTCTCTTACTCATTTCTATATTCAAAATTTTACTTCCCTAATATAACTTCATATACATAATCATTTTCTTATTTGTAGCACATTTGAGATTAAAAACTTTTTAAGTTCTTTAGAAAAATTTTCACCCCCCCCCCAAACTTAAAATTTTATAATAGAATAAAACATTTTAGCAGCATATATAAATAGACAGAAATGAAAACTAAAAATAACATGCTTGCAGAAAACTAAAAATAACATGCTTGCAGAAATTTTTAATATCTTAAATATGTAACTACAAAAAATTAAAAACAGGAGTAAAAATTAAATTGATCAAATTTTAATTTACTTAACATATAGAGATTCATCAGACTTCTATGCAGTGGAGTATAACATAAAAGCAAACAAACACACTAACAAACATACACAACTGCATCATAAGGAAAAATAACTGGTAGTAAGTTGAAAATTTTAAACAAGCAACTTTTAAGTTAAAATTTAGCTGGATTCTAAATCTTTCTAAGATTCCAGAATTAAGTTCAACACAGACTAACTAAATACATTAAACAAAACAATTAATGCAATTACTAACACACAAACATAATAACTACTCATAAAACACAAATACATCACAGTAGGTGTACGAAACAAAACATAACAAAAACTAACAGCTTCAACAATCAAAATTAAAAGCATAACAAAAAGTAAAGAATACCTGTACCATCCAAAGT